ATGGTTTCCTTATTCTTATTTATCAGTTGGATTCTTTTCTCTTTTGGCTACTATGCTCATGTTTTGAAAAACTCTTTCAAAAATCAGGGCCTATCGGTCTCTTGCGTCGTATAAGCTCGCTTTTGAAGAAAAATCAAAGAACAACATTGTTGATAATGAAGTTGTTAAACTTGCTATCGTATGTTTATTTCTGCTTGTTTTCCCGTAAATCCTAACAAAATAAGTTTTAAACTTGAATTTACCACATACGGTAGAGTTGATTCTGTTTACACTTTACCCTGCTTCACATGTTTCTGTGACATCGCTGAACGTAAACAACTTTTTGATGTGAAACTCTTTCTACCATCACTAGAATAAAAGATCTGCCTACCTTATTCGCTGCTCGTCTTGCTTTTCCTGTGAAGTGTGGGCGTTTTGTACGGAAATGCTGTATTATTCTTCTCATCTAAGAAAAAGAAAAAAAGCAGACAATTAACTTGTGTGGCATGAAATGATAGGTTAGGAGGCGTTAGTTGAGCGGAGCACAAGCCGTTGTGAACCTTTAAGTTGTTTTTGATTTGTTTTGTTTTGTTTTTTATCATTATTATTTACTGGGTGTCTCGCATTTGCTTTAAATGTGGAGCTTTGTCAGAATAGTACGGTTTCATTGAAAGGAAAACTCTATGCTTCTAGTAAAGCTGAGAAAAACATTACAACGAGAACCCCGGATCATCAAAAAGGAATATCTAGAGTTGTCTGACTTTCAGTCGTGTAACAGTGTATTAAACTTGTAATAGACCTCAACAGCTTGGGAAATATGTGGAATTTATTTCTGCACTCCTCTCTAGAAGCATATAGAGTCAAACTGAAATAGAGAAATTACAATCGCTTTTAGGCACTATGCCGTAATGTCCCTGGACTAATCCAAACAGCAAATGTTTTAATTGTACGTAAAATTCTGTATTCCTTTCCCGAACCTTGTATTCGTGTTACGATTCTTGCTCTGTTCGTACCTGGAGACTATTAACGAAATAGCGTTCCCTCTGAAGTTTCGAAGCGCGTGTTCTCTTTTATTGACATATGCCCCTTGGGATGTTACGTAACTAGACAGGGATTAAAATAATTTTGTGCAAAACATACAGTTTTGTTAGTGGAGAAATGATCAGGAGTATAACCCGTCGCGTGTACGCGTGAAAGGTTAAAAATTATGAAATTTTTTATTTCCCCTTGGGTAAGGAATGATAACCAATACTTTGTATGCGGAATTATATCAATTTGAGAAGATATTAGCCAGTTTTCTTTCCTTTTAAGAATATAGTATTTAATTTAATCATCGTTTGTCTGTAAAGTATCTCCTTATTTTAAATGCCAGGGACCATTCTTGTTTGTTATTTATATCTGAGAACATTTCCCCTGTTGTGAAATAATGTTTTAGTCGCTTGTAGCTATTTGAATTCAAAAGTGAATATTCTCTTTCACTGCTCGCTTTTTAGACAAATATATTTGAATGCGTCAAATAATTAGCATCTGTGTGAAAATGTAAGTTAAGTGTTACACATAGTTAATGAAACAGGTGTTTTTTGCCACAGCGATGGAAAAGTGATTTTCCGATATACGCGGGGGAAAGCAAGATGTTTTAAATATTCGTCTTGCATGAAAATGCAAGGTTTGTGTTACACATAATTGGTGCTGTGGTTGAGATTGTTGCCTTTTTTCTTGTGATAGGAGTCGGAATTTTCAATGGGGAGGGTCATCCACCGACTTCAGACAAAAGCTAAGCTGAAAAGAAAAGGAATAAGGTTCAGAAAAGAGCCAGATGATGATGATGAGGATGAGGAGTAGGATGATGATGAGGATGACGAGGATGAGGATGATGAGGATGATGATGATGAGGAATGATGAGGATGAGGATGATGAGGATGATGAGGATGAGGA